GGCCTCTGGGGGCCCGGTCCTTGGCCGCATGTTCACCTGTGTGACTGGCCTCTCACCCTGAGCACCCCATCCACCAATTCCTTCCACGGGACAGCGGGTATCACAGCTCCCCTTTTTCATGGCTGTGTAATACTCCACTCCCCCAGGGTGCTTGCTTATGTTGCTGCGGCACTTCCACTTTCTGTCACTAATGCCACTGGTCTGTTGCTTTCCGCCAACTGTCTGCAATGCCTGTCACCCCAACCCAGGAGGAAGAGTGTGGAAAGTGCATTTCATGACGCCCAACTTCTACCCAGAGGGAGCGGGCGCCTGCTACGGACGAGGTGTCTGCCCGTGCTCCGGGGACAATGTCACGCAGCACGACCCCCCTCTGCTGTTCGACCTCACGAGGGACCCGGCCGAGCGCCAGGTCCTCACGCCCGAGACGGAGCCCGCCTTCCACGTGGTGGTGGCCAGGGTCCGGGCGGAGCTGGCCCGGCACCAGCAGGGCCTCCCGCGAAACGTCTTCCAGCAGCTGGGCACCTACCTGAACACGTGGCGGCCGTGGCTGCAGCCCTGCTGTGGCACCTTCCCGCTCTGCTGGTGCAGCCCGCAAGACGACCCCCAATAAACCACCGAACCCCACGCTTTGTGCTGTCGTCCAAACGAGCTGGCAGCCTGCGGCACTGAGCACGCGGGCACAGGCAGGAGGGCTACGTCCCACGGACGAGCCCACGAAATCAGTGCGCACGGCCCTCGCTGCGTAAAACCCTCCTATCCCTGTCGTGGCCACGGCGGCCCTGAATACCCCAGGCAGGCACACTGGGGGTGGGCAGCTCCCAGCGCACCCACAAGAGGGCCCCGGAAGCAGGCTGCAGCCCCAGCAAGCATTTCGAGGTCCCGCAGCTGGGCTGGGGCAGCGGCCTCGGCCTCCAGGACGGGGCCACCGGCTCTGCCGGGCTGTGGAATCGCACAGGGTGGCCCCGATGGGCTGAGGTGGAGACAGCCCGGCCGGGGAGCTCCCAACTGGCTGCCCTGGACTTACCCGAAAATGCCACCGCGGACCACAGCCAGGCTAGGCCCCCTTCTGTACAAGGGGACACACCGTGGCTTGGAGTTCGCAGGATCTTGGTTACCCAGCCTGGCCCTGGGCTCGCGGGATCCTCCTGCCTCAGCCTCCCCAGCGCTGGGATTGCAGGCATGCGCCCCCACGCCGGGTCTCAGTGGC